AGATGTGAAAATGTGCTCTGGGCCATGGCAGGGAGGGGTTTGGGAGCCATGGCCCCGTCAGCCAGCACCCCAAGCCTGCTGGTGGCCAGCACAGGATGGGGACGGGGCACCTGAGGTCTGATGCTGCCCGGCCTCTGCCGCAGGCGCCGTCCTGACGTTCCTGGACTCGCACGTGGAGTGCAACGTGGGGTGGCTGGAGCCGCTGCTGGAGAGGGTCCGCCAGAGCCGGGCCAAGGTCGCCTGCCCCGTCATCGAGGTCATCAGCGACAAGGACATGAGGTAAGGCAGCTCACGCCCCTGGGAAAGCCAAAATCCACACCAGTGGCTCCAGCAAAACCGCTTACTGGGACCACCAACACACTGATCACAGGCAGGCCGAGGTGCAGACCTGCTAACCGGCCTTCAGCAGCGTTCACGAGGATACGTAACTGGTGTACACCAGAAATTAGCATTAGCAGCGGACGTGGCCCCTTCATTTCTCACGCACCTTTTCCCTTTTTTCGTGACTTTTAGTACATGAAGATGATTCCTGGTGAAATTTGTTAAAATCCTGTTTTAATTATGTACAGATGTTCATCTTCACTCATTAAGGGTGACATTTCAATCAGGAATGTGACTCAGAATTAGTCATCCCCATCTTTTCTCCCTTTAGTTACATGACCGTGGACAACTTTCAGCGTGGGATTTTCACGTGGCCAATGAATTTTGGATGGAGGCAGATTCCACAAGAGGTCATCGAGAAAAATAAAATCAAAGAAACTGATATAATAAGGTAAAAACCAGCAAACGTGAGAGCTTTGTGAACCAACTTTGTTAATAATTTAGCAACAAAGGCTCCTCCGAGGCCAAATGTTGGTTTTTTGCTCGTGAGGACTGTAGAGGCAATGGTACACGGTGGGCGAGCGCATCATGGGCACGGGCAAAGCCCAGCAAGCCTTCCTCACCTCTGCAGCGCTCGCTGGTGCTGCCAGGGCTGGGGGGACGTACCATTGCATTTTTCCCTTCTGTGCCCCATTACGGCTTCCAGACTGGGTAAAGCCACCTAAACCCCATCTCTTAACATTGCATCTGTCAGCCCGCAGTGAAGGGACCGCACATCGTGTGGTCCTTGCTGCCTCTGTAAGTGCGGCTCAGGCACCGTCCCCCAGCGTTCCGTACCCCGCAGCTTCCCAGTGATTCCCTCGTCAAAGCATGGGAAGGGACGGGTGCTTCCCGGCCGGCCGACGTGCCACGTGGCCTCTCTGTTCCCAGGTGCCCGGTCATGGCGGGGGGCCTGTTTTCCATCGATAAGAAGTATTTTTTTGAGCTGGGAATGTACGACCCAGGACTGGATGTGTGGGGAGGGGAAAATATGGAGATTTAATTCAAGGTATGTGGCTCTCGTGTGCCTGCGTCCCCGCCAGCCTGGCCGGGGCGCGTGGGGCTCAGCCGGGGTGTCCCCGGGCAGCCCTGCGCTGCAGACCCCCTCCCCCCCCGCAGGCTGCTCCTGCTCTGGCCTGCACACAGCCAGCACCCGGCGCTTGCCCGTGCCGCTATCAAAGCAACCTCTGTTTCTCAGGTCTGGATGTGCGGGGGAGAGATTGAGATTGTTCCTTGCTCCAGAGTTGGGCACATCTTCCGGAACGACAATCCTTATTCCTTCCCAAAAGATCGGGTGAGAACAGTGGAGAGGAACTTGGCCCGCGTTGCGGAGGTCTGGCTGGACGAGTACAAGGAGTTATTCTACGGCCACGCTTACCACTTAATCTCGAAAAACCTGGATGTCGGCGACCTGACTCGACAAATCCAGCTGCGACAGAAGCTTCAGTGCAAGAGCTTCAGGTGGTACCTGGAGAACGTCTACCCAGACCTGGACGCTCCTCTGGTTAGAGCCAGCGGGCTGGTACGTACCCGAATCGTGCTGCCCTTCCTTTGGGCCGGTTCCAGCGGCCGGCCCGGGGCTCGCAGCTCGCCTCCGAGTTGCTTCGCGGGCGTTTGGAAACGTTTTTGGCCGTTTCATGCGTGGCGGCGGGCTGGGTTGCCCCCGTTTTTATAACGGCACGGCCACGGCTGCGG